CCCCCCCCCCCCATCTCTTTCTTCCATGTCTTTTATACATTATTTAAAATTTAGAAAAATTAAAACTATTTCTATCTTTTTTAAGGATTATTAATAGAATATTTTGTTGTTTTTTTTTGTTTTTTTTTGTTTTATATTTCCTAATAGATAAGGATAATAATCCTTGATAGAGAATAATTTTTACTTTAGTATAAAATTCCAATATGCACATAAGGGATTCAGAGGAAAAGTGAATCAAGTCCATTTTTGTGAATTATTAGAAAACTGATTCTATAGTTAAGTTCTAAAGTTAAAGTTGTTCTAATTGTGTGCAACATGTACAGTCTTTCATAAATGCTACAGTTCCTTTTAACTTAAACATTTGCACTCACTTTTAAATCATTGAGTGAAAACTGTTCAGTTTTTTTTTCTAATTTATACATGGATTTAAAAAACAACTTGGCCCACTTTTTTCTAAATCCTCTAAATCATATCTATAATGGCTTTTCTTGATTAGAGTTTATTAATAGTATATCTTGATTTAATGTACTTATATGTATTATCATATAATGCATTATGATACATAAAAGTGGATATGATAATATTGATAACAAAGAGATACTTAACTGCTCTAAATCTTTAGCACAATTTTAAGAATCATAAATTTGCAAAAAGTTAATGTCACTTTATACTGTAATATGATGCTTCATGATATTACTACATATATTTATTTTCCCATTATCCTACATATTTTTTAAAATAATAGGAAAATAGAATTTTTACAGTAATTAGAAATAAATAGCACAAACATATAAATAGGTTACAATTTAATTCATGTCAATCAAGATGATAGAAAAGACAATTGTAGGCATAGATGCATTACAATACAGAGAAAATAATAAATGCTGTCGCAAAGTGTACACAACTACAACATAATTTTCATGCAACCCTTCTTCAGATTGCTTTCGAAAGATCAAAAGTAGCGAAAAGAAAAGATATTGATGTTATTTAAAAAAATTACTTCAATAGCTCCTGATTTTGTAAAAGTGGCAGGTATCACTTGTTTCTAAGGTATATCTTACCGATACGATAGATCACATCGATCTTTAAAATTGGCGTGAAATCCAGTCTCTAAAAGACATGAATCTAGCGATCACATCGGCACTGTTTGTCGAGAGAGATGAGGGATTTCTCGCGAGCTCGCTTCCAAGCGTCGAGTCGCTAACAGCCATATTCGCGATCAAGGCGCCACGGAAATGAGCGGTCAGCTTCAAAGGCTCCGAGTAGCGACGTGACTTTAGTCACTTGATGTCTTCACGTCGTCTGGCCAATCGCGAAGCGTTCGCGAGTCACGTGACCCAGTCGACCAATGGTCGGCGCGTTCTAGACTCACGGCCATTGTCGCCGAGTCTCTGACAAGCGTAGAAAAACTGATCAACACCGCCGCCATTTTACGTTAGCCAACGTTAGCCGATAGTGCGGTACGGACGACGTCGTGATCGCTTTTCTCGAGCGAAATTCTGTGGCGAACGCGGTGGCCGCCCCAGTACTGATACGCGCGATCGTGTTCGCTTGCTCGCGTCCTCGAATCGCGTGCGAATGCACAGGGATGAGCGTCTATTCCCGCTGATCGTTTGCGCGCCCGTGTGTCGCAGTGTGCCGAGGCGAGAAGAGGAGAAGAAGATGGTGCCACAGGGCCTCGGGAGCGACATCGTCGCCGTGAGCTAGCGCCGTGCGCGCAGCCAGTCGTTTGACGAGTCGTCGTCGTGAGTGCACGTATTACCGCGAGAGTACATATACGATCGTGTTTTACGAAAGTGGACACACAAAACGCGAGAGAGCGGGAGCAGCCGCGACGAAAAATTCGGAGCGTGTGTTGTATGTGCGAGAGAGTTAAATCGAATCGAAACGAGACGAGTCGCGAGTCGAATAATCCGCGCGTCGCGCGCTTATTCATCTTTTGACGATAGAGCGGTAAGGTAGCGAGCAGTCTTTGACGTCGTCGTCGTCGTCGTCGTCATCATCATTGTGATCGTCGTCGTCGTCGTCGTCACCGTTGTCGCCGTTCTCCATTTCTTACGCGGTGATCTGCCGTCCCGTCCCGCCGGCGACGCGGCGCGACAACCGTCCCGTCGTTGTTCGCCGGAGAGAGAGCGCGGACATTTCTCGCCGTCGTCGTCGTCGCCGCCACCGCCGTCGTCGCCGTCGTGTGTTCGCGCGTGTGTTTCTGCCTGCCTGCGTGCGCGCGGGCTTCGGCGCCGGGGTTCGACGTACCCCACAACTCTTACGATGCCCAATGGTTGACCGTGCACCGCAGTATGCTACACGGGGACGCTTTACGCGCCGCGGTTCTCATTGTTATTGTTATGCCCGCGAGTACGATTGTGATACGGCGAATTTGTTACGCGGTTTGACCGGCGGCAAGGAAGAGGCAGTGGTAGCGGTATCGGCGATCACGGTAAAATCAACAACGGCAGCGACGGTGACAGTTGCAGGGCCTATGCCGATGAGGACGGCGACAGTGGTCTTCTAGTGAGAACGAGCGAGTTACCTGCCACGCAGTGCCGTTGCTCTACGTTCGCACGGCGTACGCCGCGTATGTTCGCGCGCTGGTGGGTCGAGTGAGATCGGCAACGGGCCAACGGGAAGGAAGAGGTTAGGTTATTACGGAAGGAAGATAACAGCCCCGCGGAGGAGCCATGGCCGACCACCTGGTGGACGGCCCTCCGCCGAAGCGGCCGAAACTCGATCCGTTTCAGGGGCCATCAGACTCGACGGGTAAGTCAAACTATCTGTCATTTTTTTTTTTTTTCAATCTTGGCGACATTGCGAATACTTCCCCGCGACTTCCGTTTCCTCTGCGATCAGTTTCCGCGACTAACCTCATAGAAGTTACACATGTACGGGGGCCGCCGTTGAGGCCGCGTACGCCCGCCGAGGCGCGTAAAGCGCGCCTCCGTGCTCGCGATGGAAACGTGTGTACGCCTCTCGCGTGCACACGGCCGAGAAAAAAGAGAATTCCCGATCGGCGGCGTTTTACGATCCGCGGCGCGGATCGCGCGTCGCGGTAGCGGCTAATCGCCATTCGCCGCCAGCCCGCCGCCGTTCATCTATCACGGACGCCTCGAAGCCGCAGGCGTCGCAACCTCTGAGCAACATTATGGATACGCCACGCGACAGTAATGCGCACCCGCTCAGCGTCTTTGCGCGCTCCTGCACTCTCCGCACGCGCGAAAACCATTCGGCGTGCACCATCCACGCGCTTTCCGGAATCGGGTAGAGAAAATCGAACGGCTAAAGTGGAATTTCCGAATATTACGTTTTTTTTTCTCATCACGAGGAATTAATAAGGAACAATTCCGAAACACAAAGCGAGAACAACTTCGCGCGGAATGAATTTGTTCGATGCGTGATGCGCGTAAAAACCGAGATTTCATTCCGAGACTGCATTGTACAATAGCTTTTTTCGTACAGAACGTATCAATTTTTGCTCAGATGTTGTACAGACGTACAATGCAAGTGTAAATGTTCATGTTAAGAATAAATGTTACTTCCTCCGTCTTACTTCACACCTGCCGTCTCCTTCTGTTTTGAATGGCATACCGATATGCAGTTTTGTATATTTTTTCCGGACATATTTAGATTTAGATATAGTTGTGATCCTGTAGTGCATGACGACTGCATGACATTTTAATGTTAAAGATTACATTTTGCTGGCATGAACAATGCGCTAATAGACTTCTACTATATATATATTTTTTTTCTTTGAACACATCTTAATCATCTCTTAACAGTTTCCAAATTTGAGAATAATGCACATAACGCTATATTTATATCGACAATAATTACATTTTATACTTAAATATAATATGTAAACTGTCAAAATTGCTTATAGTGAGGGTACTAAGTCGCAGAAACAGAGTTGCGGAAACAATCTCTCTCTAGTTTCCACACAATCGTCAAACAGTTGATATAAGTTTGATTGCAAAATCGTAATCAGTCGTTAATAATTGTTCGGCCAATAGTTGAGACACGATTGTACTGTCTAGTATCTGCTTCCCGAACTGTTTCTACCACTTGGATACCGATAATTCAGAAAGAAAGCCTAATCAGTTTTTCCTTTCATTCTAAATTAAACAAAAAACTGTGATATACGTAGTGGGTATGGCGCCTTTAATGATGCACCATGCTTATACGAACTACGGGGGAGGTGGCAGTAACATTCAACAAATACAGGGTCCACCGCAGCAGCTACATCTGCAACAGCATCAGATGCAACAGTGGAACAACTCGCTCCAAAAACGAAGTAAATATCATCAGATCAAAATTTAAAAAAAAAAAGAAAAAAACAAACAAACAAAAAATTTAAAAAAGGGAAAAAAACAAAAAAGAACCCCCCCCATTAAGTCTAGCACCGTAAAAATCCGTTTGTCCGTCCAATCATCTCATAATACCATACATTTTCTCAAGTAAAGTTACCTGTCTCTCAGTCTCTGGTTTTTCAGTGAAATTGATACATATCTTCCAGTTGCAGTTACTGAGAAATACGTGGTAGTTTTGGCATATTGTCACTGTGGTTCAGTAACTTTAGTCTATTTGTCGGCATTTAGGCAAGAAAACGAAAGAAAAATGGATGTCACGATATATTTATCTTTGAAAAAGTATGGCAGAGCAATAGAGCCGGCAATATGGATATATAAAAAAAAGTATTATCTTACTTTTGAACACGGACTGATTCACTTTACATAGCAATGGAGAAAAATTGGATCGGTGTTGCTAAAGGTACATAAGATTCAGATAAGCCAAGTTCCCCTCTTTTTTCTCTAATAAAACATCTCGTGAGGCATTCACAATGTGAATTAAACATAACATAGACATGCGACACACACACGCGAGGAGCTCGCGGACTTTACCGAAGAATCGCAAAGGTGCAATTAAAGATGCATACATATGCTTGTGTACACGGAGAAAATTTTCTATCGAAGATTACTGCGATGCGGCAGTAACCGCGGTCCGTAAGAGAAATTATAAGATTAAATACTACGGCCATTATGTGGCCGAAACGTAGTAGGAATTTTTATAATTTCTTCACGATTCACGGCCAACTCTGTCGTATATGTCGTAATTTTTTATACAAAATTTTCTCCGTGCGTAGCGTAAAAAGTTCATGGTACAATCGTAGGTGATAAATTGCTGAGTGATAGGTGGGGGTTGATAGGTGTATATCAATGAAAATTTTCACAGGTATTTATAACGGAACGTAAATAGAATGAAAAACTGTGTGCACAAACGAATCTTTTATGCAAGTCTCGGGAAATTTTATTTCATTAATCTTAGAGCGAAGTGAAGTGACGTTGCGTTTCTAAAACGTAACGCCAACAGTATTGTTATATTCGCTTAAACAGATATTTTCTAGAGTGACTGATTTCTTCGCATGACTCTCTTCTATAAAGTTTGCCATCGATAGCTTCGCTGGCTGCTTGTTTAGTTTAGCACTAATTTATTGTGCCGAAAATTTTCATTCTGCTGTAGAATATGGCTCCTTTACGTTATGCTCATGCAGTGTATGTCTCATGTCTTATTTTTCATGTTTGTTTACATCCACGTATAATTTTCCTTATTTTTCTTCTTTTTTTCTTTTTTACTTTTTTTTTTTTAATATAGAATCTTTGCATTTGTATTATCCTACATATATATATATATGTACACCCTTTTTTTCTCCGTCAATGTATGGTCAGTCGTGGATAGATAAGTTTCAAGAGTTTTATTTGTCAAGGAATGTTACGTGAGCATTTTCAAAAGATGTTAATAGAGCATCAGAAGTTTCTTGTAACATAGATGAAATTAGTATGCTTTTTTTGTCTGTGTTCTCTATATACATGCATGTATGTATATATGTTTACATGCTGTATACATGTATATAGAAATACAGTACGTTATGCACAGGATGATGTAATATATACATTTTTAATATTGAAAATATTTTGATATTCTCCTAAGATTTTTTGATGCTAAAAGCTATGGTGACGGCGCTAAAAACCTACCCTTGTAAAATTACTAATGACTTCTTGGTATCTATATGCTACTTATCATTCTCAATATTATAATTATTTAAGTGATATTATCTGTAATAATCATCTCAATAATATTGTCTACGAAACACTGGTTATCTCAGAAAATAGTACAGCCAAATATATATCCATAATAAATTTGAAAAAAAGAAATCTACAAAAACGTGGCCACTTCAGCGCGCACAGCGATTAAACAAACGAACAGTACGAATAGAGATGCAACTTTGGTTTTCTTGCGCAAATGTACAAAGATGTACTTTTCTGATAACCAGTATTGTGATAAAGGTTCACGAAGGTGTAATATTGAATATCTTTCTCGTTTATTCTCAGATTACATAACAAACCCAGACACAATGTTTGATATTGAAAATGATCTTCCTGATGACTTGCTGTCGTCTGGATCTTGGGGTTCCGCGACCGAGAGTACCAAGCCACCGGCAACCGGTCCAGGTCCAGGGCAGCAAAACGGTGCTCTCGACTCGGAACTCAGGCAACATGTACAGCAACAACAACTCTCTCATCATCTCATTCAGCAGCAGGTATGCGTCAAGGTTAGCGATCATTCAGTATTCGTCAATTCCGTCGCACGTTATCTCACAGACGATCGTTGAACAGGGCAACAAAAACTTGGTGGCGAATTCCTTGGTAATGGCTGCCGGAACATTGGGGAACAAAAGTCCGAATATGCAATCTCCGCCGAATGTTTCCGTCTCCAAAGGGGTGGTCGATCCGCAGATGGTCGTGAGTCTCGGTAATCTGCCGAGCAGTATAGCTAGTTCGTTGGCGAACAATCAAATGTCTATCGCGAATTCGATGGGCAGTTTGCAATCATCCATGAGCATGGCCGGAAGTAACCCCGCGATGTCCATGCCGGGCGGCATGAATTCCGGCTTAGTGATGACTAGTACTGCCAGCGGGAACAATAATATGGGCGGCATGGCTGGGGGAAGCTTAATAGTAACCAACAGTTTGAACAAACAACCTTTAAATACAGTACGTTTGCACAATCTAATGATTTTCGTCGGTGAAAGACAGGTGGTTCGATGGTTGTGACTAATGATGATTTTAAAGGTAACCATGATGGGCCCTAATACTCAAGCGATACATCATCCTAGCGGACCTCAGGGGGTCACGCAAATGCAAAATGGTCCCGGGATGATGAACACGAGGGCTGTGGCGATGCAGCAGCAACAACAGGCGCATATGGTCGGCCCGGCGAGAGGGCAGAGTCCTCATCAACAAGTCCATCAAGTTGGCATTGTCGGGCCGAATCAAGGCCCGCGAATGCAGGGTCCACCTAATATGGCGAATATGCCAAACATGGGGCAAATAGGTGCATCGAGTCCGTACGGATATGGTACATACAATTATACTGAATCCGATCATATTCTGTTGGATATGTAACATGGATTTTCTCTCGCTTGGAGGAAAATAGATATAATAAGTAAAAGTAATCGTAAAGTGTAAAAGCAAAATTTATAATACAGGTAATCCAAGTTCTGGTGGACCAGGACCAGGAGTAACTGTATGCGCCAATAATCCCATAGGTGTTGTCAAGCCGCAACAGAAAGGAGTGGGGACGAATATGACCGCCATGCAAGCAGCTGCTGCCAGTAGATTCACCGGAACCGCCGGTCCGATCGGCACCCCAAACGTCGTCGGTGGTCAAGAGGGTGGAACAGCGACGCAACAGGCGCAGCCATCCGCGCCGAGTCCGGCTCAACCTCAATCTGGAGCGCCGACCGGAGGACAGCCCGGTCCACAACAAGCTACTCAAGGGCAGATGACTGGCACTGGTGCTCCGACAGGTGAGTTTATGTTGCATCGTATTTTGGAATTATAGTTTTTCATCTAGCTTGGTCTTTTAAAACGGCAAACGAGATGTTAATGCGTTGAATATCTGTTTTGTATGCGTACCGGATTTTCATCGTATTATTTTACATTGAGAATGGTCTAAGCAAAGGCCGAAATATATAATAAGTACAAAGATGGTAATTTGATGTAACGGATGTAATATGTAGATTTTGATACGAATAATCAGGCTCGTTCGCCTTTCTTTTTTGTGACTTTATATATATATTTTTTTTTATCTTATAGTGAAAATAATGTTGCCCGTGTAACATATTTGCTTAGAATATTATTTAACACGTTTAGGACCTACGAAATCCACGCCTGATCCCGAAAAATGCAGACTTATTCAGCAACAATTGGTATTACTTTTACACGCTCATAAGTGTCAACGGCGCGAGAACGCGCAAGCGAACGGCGAGATACGACAATGCAACTTACCAGACTGTAAAACAATGAAAAATGTTTTGAATCACATGACGAGCTGTCAAGCCGGCAAAAATTGTACTGTTGCACACTGTAGCATGTCCAGGCAGATCATTAGCCATTGGAAGCATTGTAATCGAGGCGATTGTCCGGTCTGCTTGCCGATAAAACAAGCGAACAAAAACAGGACTAACTCTGTACAAGGTATAGAAGAATTTTATAAAAAAAAGAATTCTTTTTGCTAATTAAATATCTATGTTAACTTTTGTCTTCTTTTTATTAGTTTCTGCAATTCAACCAAATAATCAGCCAAATCCAAGTCCATCTGAGATGAGAAGGGCTTATGATGCTTTAGGTATTCAGTGTCCGACAACAACACCGGGACTCCTGCCCGGCCAAGGCGTTGGCAGAGGCGTTAGAATGCCAGCGCCTGGCATGGCAGGTCCCCCAGGGACGCTGGGCAATGTTAGATTACCGCAACCTCAAACACAAAGTGAGTTACGCGTCGTTTTACTTGAAATTGATTAATTGCTCGTGTATAAGGAAACATTCTATCGAATGTTTGCGTAGAGTGTAAAAAAAGTATTTTTTTTTTTTTACATTTTTGTTTCTTTTATATATGTTGAAAATATAAAATATAATTTTTATATGTAGGTGTATACACGAAACAAGAAGCGAAGGGAGCTGTGTATGTTTCAGCTGCGTCTGGACAGTCCGTAGTCGGTGCTGGGCAACAAGTAGTCGCTCCAAACGTATCTCTTCCTTTAAATTCCGATCCTAGTACGGTCGGGGTAGCCGGCAATCAGACGGCACCGACGACCGGATCCACGTCCGCCGCGGCGGCCGCCGCCGCTAATATACAGCAGTCCGTCAATATGCAAACGTTATTCGGATTAAACGAATCTGGACAACCGAGCGTGATAGGCGCGGAGAATAGATTAGCGAATTTGCAGCTTCCACCTGGTTGTGTTCCGCCTGGTCAGGTGACGGCTCAGCCAGTGCAAGGAACAAAGGAGTGGCATCTGTCCGTTACTCCGGATCTCAGGAATCACCTCGTTCATAAATTGTAAGCGAGAATTTTTACCACGGCGTGAGACAGTATCGCGATTTACTCGAAAATATTTTTCCTCTGATAACACGATTGTCGTCGTCTGTTTTCACAGGGTCCAAGCGATATTCCCAACTCCCGATCCGCAAGCCATGCTCGATAAAAGAATGCACAACTTGGTTGCATACGCGAGAAAAGTGGAGGGTGATATGTATGAAATGGCTAATTCGCGTTCGGAATATTATCATTTATTAGCCGAAAAGATTTATAAGATTCAGAAGGAACTCGGTAAGTGCTGTTTGAAGGAAAAGTGTTGCTTGATGTTTAAAGGAAATTTTTTTGAAATTTTTATGAATTTCATTAAACTTTAAAGTGACATTTGATATTTTTATTATTATTTTATTTATACAATTATTATTTTGCCTTTTTCTAATGTGAATTATATATATATCTTTCAGTTTTTAATTATGTACTCAAATTAAGAAATATGGTAAGAGAATCACGACTAAATGATTTCTCGACAACAGATGAGAAACGACAAAAACGGAAGGAACAGCAACAATTGCAACAAGCGCAACAGCAGCAGCAACAACCACAACCGCCACAACCAGCAGGCACATCCGGTCCTGGATTAAGGCCATGCGCACCTCCCAATGTTGGAGCTGTTTTACCAGGGTCATCGAAACCCGTCGGAACAGTACCACCTACTCTACGGAGTCATTCGCCAAGTATGGGTCAACTCGGAACGATACCAGCGATGGCCATTCAACAACACAGCAGAATGCAGTTTCCTCAGCAACAACAAGCTCAGCAGCAGCAGCAAGCTCAACAGCAGCAACAGCAGCAGCAGCAAGTTCAAGCTCAGCAGCAGATACAACAGCAGCAGCAGCAACAACAACAGCAAGGCATCTTAGTGGGTCCTCCCGGTCCCAGTCCGAATGGACAGTCTACATCCAACACTAATATGGTACCGAATCCCGGCCTCAGCCCATTCGGACAGCCTCAGATGTCTCAGGCTAATCTCACGACCACCACCGCGTCCAACAATGCGATGACTAGTCAATTCTCGACGTCCAACGGTACGGCCACCGGTTTACCCAACACCTCTCCCATCCAAAATCAGCATCAATTCCCCGACCTGATGAAGGTCCGATTGGCACAAGCTCAGGTTCAGGCTGCGCAACAGCAACAACAGCAACAGCAGCAGCAGCAACAACAACAGCAGCAACAACAACAACAACAACAACAATCGCAGAATCAGCAGTCGCAACCAGCGAGCACTCCGAGTCAGGTCGGCACTCCGGTATCGTCGATCCCGCAAGCACCGTCGCCGTTCAGCGGCATGCAGCAACCAAGCGCGCAACAGCAGCAGCAACAACAGCCGCCGAATCAGCAGTTCCCCACGCGACCATTGTCAGCCTCGACGCCCAATGACAACGGCATTGCCGCGTCGACGCCGCAAACGATACCGCCGCCTGCGTCAAGCGGACCGAGTCCAACGGGCAGTGTATCCGCGACGACGACGGGAACGACGAACGGACCTCAGTCGACCACCTCCACGCCGAACACGCCGCTCGTACCATCGCTAATGACACCGAATCAGACGGTATCGTCCGCGTCCAACCAAACGCCGCCGCATTCGGGCCCCACCCGTCCCCGGCCGGTCTCGCGAGTCTCGGCAAAGGTATGACCTCGCAAGAACGGGCGGCGTTGAATACTCCGCGCAACACATCCATGTCCTCGCAGATGGCCGCCATCACGGCGGCATTGGATCGTGATAACTCTCCGAGTCCACCGATGAGCAACAACAAGGGCAAATTGGACTCCATTAAAGAGGAGGTCACCATAAAAATGGAGATCAAGCAGGAGCCGGAGGAGCCGCAGAATCATCGAATGGACGGCGGTAAGAGCGTGAATAACGAGATCATCATTAAGACCGAGCCGAAGACCGAGCCGATGGAGGAAGGTTCGAATGAGGCGATCGTGAAGGAAGAGCCTGCTAGCATCAAGGAGGAGAGTATGACGCCGGTGTCCAGTCAAGACGCGTCCGCGTCCGATATCAAGCCGATGGTGCCAGAACCGATACAGCCGAGCGGCACGTCCACCGACAAGAAGAAGTGCTTGTTCAAACCGGACGAATTGCGTCAGGCGTTGATGCCGACGTTGGAGAAGCTATACCGACAGGATCCCGAGTCCATACCGTTTCGGCAACCCGTGGATCCCCAAGCGCTGGGTATACCGGATTATCCGACCATCGTGAAGAAGCCGATGGATCTGTCGACGATCAAGAAGAAACTCGACACGGAAAAGTACAGCGATCCGTGGGAGTACGTTGACGACGTGTGGATGATGTTCGACAACGCTTGGCTCTACAACCGCAAGACTTCTCGAGTCTACAGATACTGCACCAAGGTAATGCATCTGTCAGATGACATCGCGAATATATACTTTGTACGATTTACAATTCTAAATTTTTTATCATTTTTGTGTATTTTTTTAATAATTCGCGTGTCTCCTGTTGAATAACAGCTTTCGGAAGTGTTCGAGCAAGAGATAGATCCTGTAATGCAGGCTTTGGGATATTGTTGCGGCAGGAAGTACACGTTCAATCCGCAGGTGCTCTGCTGTTACGGCAAGCAGCTTTGCACGATACCCAGGGATGCGAAATATTATTCGTACCAGAACAGGTCAGTATTCATCAGTGTATATTGATATTTTAATTAATGTGATAGATAAAATGTTGTTTTAAAATGTTAACGCCCTCTCTCAAAAATGTAAATGTTACACGTGCTGGAGATATTGATATTACAATATACTAAAATGTTAATATTTAACAATTTAATTTTGAGATGTTAATTTTTTTAAGTGAAGTTTGCTCAATCCATTATTACTTTAATCGATCAATCTAGATACATTCAGTATATTAAAGTACATTAAGCGCACGAGAAATAATATTTTGAGAGGGAGAGTGTTGCATTTACTTAGAACAATTCCGAAATTAGAGTGTGCACGATGGAGACACCTCGTCTCATACGTTTGTAGTACTTTAATGGTACATCCAGTAGGAATTAAAATTTCAAGTAGCATTTCTGTTAAGCTCACATAAGGAGGGGGAGTAGTGATTTCTGCGTGTTCATTTTGTTATGGGCACTTTTTTAATTTGAAATTGTCCTATCGCTGAATACGCTAGATTATATTGGCAGGTTAATTAACCTGTTTTTGGCAGCAATGCAAAAGCAGGTCAGTCCCCTGACCTACACCCTTTCAAAGTTTTTCAAATGAGTTATCCGTACGAATTTTCTTTCATATTAAATTCACGCGCTTGAAGTTTTGTAGATTAATTGCGCTTATACCTACAGAATATGTATCTTCCGGGAGCCGCATAACGCGGCCTTACAGCGAACTACTGAAAGAATTATGAAAATCGTGAAATTTTCGTAAAGTCTTGTCGATTTTCAGGTATATTTACATAGCCTTTGGGTATATGCGTGTAGAATTAAAAAATTTGAAGTTGATATTTTAGTCTAACATTAGCACTGTTCTCTTCTTTGTATGTTACCTTCGCCCATGGGTTGCACACGCGCACACAAATCCTTGTTTGCCGCTTACCTCTTGTGTTGACTGCGCCCTTGCTTCTTTCCGACTCTACTACTGTGAAAAACTTGATACTTGGAAACTGCTAATTGAAAAAAATAAAAAAAAAAACGAAACGATGTCTTCCCATGATCTTTTAAAACAAAAACGGAATCGGATCTGAAACAATTGGCGATACTGTTGCATGCATGTGTAATTGCGAAAATTGAATGTATATATAAACACGCATACTTGCTGAAATTGATGAAACTTGGATACATCGAATAAATTGGTCGACGTTCATCGAGTTCAACTAATAAAATGCACGCACGATGCCGATATAATAGCAGTCTAAAGGGAATTGGTCTTCTGTCCGACAGATACACCTTCTGTCAGAAATGTTTCAACGACATTCCTGGTGACACAGTGACGTTGGGAGATGATCCAACACAGCCTCAAACGTAAGTGTACAAGAAGATCGACGTGTAGTATAGTCTATTAATATCTATTCCCGGTTAAATACGGTGCTTATGCGAAATTTTCTTTACCGTAGTGCCATCAAAAAGGAACAGTTCCAAGAGATGAAGAATGACCATTTAGAATTGGAACCTTTTGTAACCTGTACAGACTGTGGTAGGAGAGTGCACCAAATTTGTGTGCTCCATATGGAAACCATCTGGCCCTTAGGGTAAATAATAATATGATTCGAAACAGTAAGATTTTGTGCCAAGATCAAGATTAATTTTCTTGGTTTGACAAAGAAATTGTAATGTTTTGAATTGAGCTTTTAAGACTTAAGTGCTTGCGCAATTCATTCACGTTGTTTCTTACGTTTTAAGAAATTCATGAAGTATTTCGCGTTGTACATACATAAAAGTTGTATTTTTTTTTTAACAGATTTACCTGTGATAATTGTTTGAAGAAAAAGGGACAGAAACGCAAAGAGAATAAATTTAACGCCAAACGATTGCCCGTGACGAAGCTCGGCACATATATCGAGACGCGCGTGAATAATTTCCTAAAGAAAAAGGAAGCGGGCGCCGGTGAGGTAGCTATTAGAGTGGTCGCGTCCAGCGACAAAGTGGTCGAGGTTAAACCCGGCATGCGAAGTAGATTTGTTGAGAACGGCGACATGCCCGGCGAATTTCCTTATCGCGCGAAAGCGTTGTTTGCATTTGAGGAGGTCGACGGCACCGACGTCTGTTTTTTCGGCATGCATGTGCAAGAATACGGAAGCGAGTGCACACCGCCGAACACCAGACGGGTTTACATCGCATATTTGGACTCGGTCCACTTCTTCCGGCCTAGACAATTCCGAACGGCTGTGTATCATGAGATTCTTCTCGGATATCTCGATTATGCGAAGCAACTTGGGTAAGTTTAAAACTTAAGCGACGAAAAGATTTTATTAGATTAATGTAATATACATGATGTAACATTTTATATGTATGACGTAACACTTAACGATCCGTGTCGCGTAATCGCTTACGGCTTACGCTGAATTTTCCGTTCAAATCCTTTGAAATAAAATATTTCTTATTTATACTTTTACTTTTATATATTAGATTTTTTTCTTAATAATTTTTATAATTATAATTTTATATAATATACATACCTTATATAAACTTATATATATTGTATAATAAATTATACAACACGAATAGAAGATCATGTTTGCGCGGCACGGAACGTGTTAATATATATAATACTATTAATAAATGAATTTATATCTAAAAGATGCAATTGTATGTGATATTTAGATATACGATGGCTCACATTTGGGCGTGTCCACCTTCCGAAGGTGACGATTATATCTTCCACTGCCATCCCGCAGAACAAAAAATACCAAAGCCTAAACGATTGCAGGAATGGTATAAGAAGATGCTGGACAAGGGAATGGTTGAGAGAATCGTTCTCGACTATAAGGTTAGCGAAAGAATTTTGTGAATTTTTAGATATAGTCTCCTGTGTTTCCAATACGTGTCGCGATATCGTGTCGGAGTCAAATGAGACTTAAATCAACGTCTGCGGAAAAGCTAGTGTTCTTGTGATGCTTGTAACAACGAACACAGGATTTGCAGATGACATTTCTCTGCCAAGTATTTTTTTTTTTTTTTCTTTCGCGTTGAAGAAGATGTACAAATGAAACTTTTGTGTGCAGGATATCTTAAAACAAGCTATGGAAGATAGGCTTTCGTCTGCGGCGGACTTGCCATATTTTGAAGGCGATTTCTGGCCCAACGTTCTGGAGGAAAGTATTAAAGAATTAGATCAGGAAGAGGAAGAGAAGCGCAAACAAGCTGAAGCAGCAGAAGCCGCTGCTGCAGCAGCAAATGCGGTAAGTTGTGAAAAATAACTGATCTTCCATGCAATAATTATTTTTTTAAACGTTTATCGTTATATATATATATTTGTTTTTATATCTTTGCAGATTTTTTCGCTCTCCGAGGATTCGGAAACTCCAGACGGTAAAAAGAAAGGTCAGAAGAAGGCGAAGAAATCCAACAAGTCCAAAGCGAATCAAAGGAAGAATAGCAAGAAATCGAATACTCCTCAAACCGGCAACGATCTGTCTGCCAAAATCTTTGCGACTATGGAAAAGCACAAAGAAGTATTTTTCGTCATCAGGCTACATAGCGCGCAAAGTGCAGCCAGTTTAGCGGTAAGTTCTTTATATCCATTATATTTTACAGATTCGGATTATAGATGTTTGCACAGCGTGTTACATGCGATCGTTAATTTTCACATAAATCTTTAGCCGATCCAAGACCCCGATCCTGTTATCAATTGTGATCTCATGGATGGCCGTGACGCTTTCCTGACGATGGCTAGAGAAAGGCATTACGAGTTTTCATCACTTAGAAGGGCGAAATTCAGTTCCATGTCCATGCTTTATGAATTACACAATCAAGGCCAAGACAAGTTTGTTTACACTTGCAATAACTGCAAAAGCCATGTGGAGACCAGATACCATTGTACAGTTTGTGATGTACGTATTAGATTTCTTGGGAAAGGCATTCTTGCTTTCTTTTCAATCTTTATGTTTGCTATAACGCCATTTTATTGCAGGATTTCGATTTATGTGTAAGTTGTAAAGATAAAGATGGTCATCCGCATCCTATGGAGAAACTTGGCTTTGATTTGGATGATGGTTCGTCACCGGCTGACGCCAAACAAACGAATCCACAGGTAATTTATGAGTATACTGTGTTTATAATGATATATCATTGATATATATTTAAATTTAAAAAATGCCACAATGCTAGTTCTTTGTGCAAAGGTTAAGATATATTCGTTAAAATTGTTTACATCAAATCAAACGTTTCAACCTGCCATCAGGCCTTCTTCAGTGTACATTAATAATAATACAAATAAAAAGAAAAATTCGCTCGCAAAATTTTATATAACGTGAAAGATGTGGAAGACGTTAAAATCATTCTTTCTACCCGATTGTAGTTCGGTAGAAAATAAGTTAGTACTGCAATAAATGCAATGGTATACATTAATAGTTCATATTAAAATAAAAAATAAGTGGACCGGAAATTGAGAACTGTAATATACATACTTGAATTAAATTCATGTCGAAGCGCTAGTCCACGTAGAGAGGACGAGGTGGAAAAACAGAGAACAGATAGTCTTTACATCTTACAAGTCAAGATCTTAATGAAAGTGATTTAACACAGAAATTATAAAATTCACAAGTGAAGGTATGGGAGGAGGCGGGAGTGGAGGAGGGAAAAAATGGAGTAAGTAAGGAAAGAGAGAAGGTGGGGGTAAATATGATAGATAGAAGAAAAGGGAAAGAAAAGTATTTTTATAAAGAAGGAAATAAATTAATGATGGGGAGATATCTTTACTTTATCCCAATCAAAGTGGGAGGAGTCCAATCTTTGATATCAAAGCTCCACTCCCTTCCTTCTCCCATACCTTCACTCGTGAATTTTATATATTTTGTGCTAAATCACTTTCATTAAGATCTTGACTTGTAAGATGTAAAGACTATCTGTTCTCTGTTTTTCCACCTCGTCCTCTCTACGTGGACTAGCGCTTCGACATGAATTTAATTAAAGTATGTATATTACAGTTCTCAATTTCCGGTCAACTTATTTTTTATTTTAATATAAACTATTAATGTATATTTGCATTTATCGCAGTACTAACTTATTTTCTACCGAACTACAATCGGGTGGAAAGGATGATTTTAACGTCTTCCACATCTTTCACGTTATGTAGAATTTTGCGAGCAAATTTTTCTTTTTATTTGTATTATTATTAATGTGCACTGAAGAAGATCTGATGGCAGGTTGAAACGTTTGATTTGATGTAAACAATTTTAACGAGTATATCTTAATCTTCGCACGAAGAACTAGCATTGTGACTCTTTACGCTCCTATTGATTTTAATTGATTTTAGTAATCAGTAGAGCCTTATATATCATTAATTTAAAAAAAAAATGATTAATTAAAATAATAATTACGATAAACTTTTCACACTCACATTTACTTTCTCATTCTCGCAATACAGGAGGCCCGAAAACTGTCGATACAGAGATGCATTCAATCGTTGGTGCATGCATGTCAATGCAGAGACGCGAATTGTCGTCTGCCTAGCTGTCAGAAGATGAAGCGAGTGGTGATGCATACGAAGAACTGTAAGAGAAAGACCAATGGTGGCTGCCCGATATGTAAACAATTGATTGCTCTCTGCTGCTATCACGCGAAACACTGCCAAGAGACCAAGTGTCTTGTTCCGTTCTGCTCCAACATCAAACATAAGATAAAACAGCAGCAATTGCAACAACGACTGCAGCAGGCACAACTACTCAGGTGAGTCGAATCGTATTGTTATTCAAATGTAATAATAAAATACTAAATGGAGTAATAAAATACTAAAATATCAGAAAATGAAATTTTTACATGGTTAAATTACATAAATTGAAGATAATAAACATGCACTGAAATTGATAAGAAAATGATTCACAGTGTTTGGATCGTATATATGGATTTCTTATCTGAGAGTATCATTTCTTTACTTTTTATTGTCTTTTCTTCTATCATTGCTTTATCTATCTATATTTTTATCTATTTATATCTCTCAGTGTTTAAGAATTTTCATAAATATTGGCGCTTGCAGGAGGCGAATGGCTGTGATGAACACGAGGCCGACCGGACCTGTGGCCGCAATGCAGGCCGGCCAACAAACCTCGAATGTCGCCATGGCGACCGGAGTTGCCATGAAACCGGGCGTCAGTACCTCGAATCTACCGTCGCCGCATCAACCGGGTATTGGGTTGAAGCCCGGTACGCAAACGCCTCCCGCTCATGTGTTGCAGGTTGTAAAGCAGGTTCAGGAAGAGGCAGCGAGGCAGCAAGCGCCGCACGTTGGCTACGGCAAAGTGACGCCGGGCGCCGGAGTCGGCGTGGGCGTCGGTGTCGGTCAAACCGGCGGCGTTATGCCACCACCGCAGATGCAACGACCATTACCGGTGCAGATGCCGAATCCTGGTGGGACGCATCTCATTCCGATGGATCAGTGGACACCGAGGTAAATGTCAATAATACTTATTTCTCTGTCATATTCTTAATTTTTTTAAAATCAAAATTGTTTATGATTAACTTTGTAACGGGTAAACTGTCAAGTGAATAACTTATCTTCTAACTGTCGCGTGTGCTCGTCCTCTTCTGTAGCAGGTACCAGCCGAACGCGGTGATGCAACAAAATCCGAACTTAGCGCGGCAGCAAACGCCGCAACAATTGATGCAACAACAGCAGCAGCATCAGGCTCAACCAGGAATGGGAATGAGTGCGCAAATGCCGCGACAGCCAGGCGTGATTGGGCCGGTTGGACAGGTCGGGCCGCAACCCAATATGCAGAAGCACGCTCTTCAGCAGCTGATGCAGACCCTCAGGAGTCCACAGTCTACTGAACAGCAGGCGCAAATACTTCAAATACTCAAGAGCAATCCGCCGTTGATGGCTGCGTTTATTAAGCAACGGGTAAACTAAACTGAATGCATTATTTATAAAAATGAACGTTATCACACACAGATTTCATCCATTACCAATCTTCTTAATAAAAAGGCACTTGTCCATCAGCAACAACCTGGTCAGCATGGCGGGGGAGTCGGCGGTCCATTGGGTCCTAATCAACCCCAACAACAACAACAACCTGGTTTGCAGCATATGATGTCCCAACAGCAACAGCCGCAGCAGCAGCAGCAGCAACAGCAACCGCAGCAGCAGGGCAGATTGCAGATACAGACGATGCTGACGCCGCAGGCGCAGCAGCAGCAGCAGCCGGTGCAGCAACAGACGCAATGGTACAAGCAGCAGATGCTGGTGCAGCAGATGCAGAGGCAACAACAGGCCCAACAGCAACAGCAGCAGCAGCAGCAGCAGCAGCAACACAGCAGCAGCAGCAGCAGCAGCAGCAGCAGCAGCAGCAGCAGCAGCAGCAACAGCAGCAGCAGCAGCAGCAGCCATTCACTCAACCGCCGGCGCCGCCGTATGGTCAACAACGACCGATACGGCCGTCGCTTCTCGGTAATTACATTCCTCGTAATTCCGTAGAGGGGCACGTATTACGAAGCATCTTGTCGAAGCAACAGCGCTTACAAAACTCCTTCCCAGGTTATGGCGGTTTCAACGAGCAAGGCTATGGTCAGCCGGGTCTGAAACCCACGCCACCGCCTGTACCCTCGCCGCAAGGCGTCATGGGCCCACCTGGGATCTCGGTGCAGCAACAACTGATGCAATCGGTCCGTTCGCCGCCGCCCATCCGTTCTCCACAGCCCAACCCCTCACCGCGGCCTGTTCCCTCTCCTCGTAATCAGCCGGTACCGTCGCCGCGGTCGGGTCCGGTGCCGTCGCCGCACCACCATCCGCCCCACGGCACACCCACACATTCGCCGGCACACGAGCTCGGTGGCGGTCCTAGCGAGATGATGCTCTCGCAACTAAGCGGTGGTGCTGGTGCACCCACTGGCCATCCCGCGGCCATGCCCCACCATCCCTCGCCAGCGCCGGCGCCCACGAACGGTGGTGCGGACGCTAACGAGGTGACGCCGATGACGCCACAGGATCAACTCTCCAAATTCGTCGAGGGGTTGTAGTGACTGTTACGGACGATCACATCGGTCGATGGTTATGTAAGTGATTTCCTTAAAGGAGAAAACGACGGCGGCGCTCGGACGACTGCGTTCGTCCGTGTCGCGTGATTTATAAATAATATACGCGGAAACACGCATTCGCGAGAAACAAGGCCGTTAGATAATTAATCCTGAAGCTCTTTCGCGCGCGCGTGCGCGCGCGCGCACACAGATAGAGACTGAATGAGAGAGCCTGACAGAGCGTTCTGCCGAATCTTTCTATTCAACGATCGAGTTTCGGGACTGCCCTCCCCCCTCCCCCCCAGGACCCCGGGAGGAAGAATCCCCAATTTTATGATCTTTGACGCTTTGGGTCTCGCGCGCGCGCGCGCGCGCGTTTCTTCTTTTTCGATCTTTTGCATCACGTGAGACGTCGAAAGAAGAGAGAGAAGCAACGCGACGTTGGTGCTTTTTGATGCTACTCTGTTCGGCTCAAATAGACTCAAAATTAAGTGTTTTCGTCCGTGATCGATAGAGAGAGAGAGAGAGAGAGAGAGAGTGAGAGAAAGCAAAATCGATAAAACGAGGATGGGCGAACGAAAGACTAAAAGCTAAATTATTCAGAGACTATTATTACGTACCCCCTTGCCCCTTCTGCCCTTTTTCCTCCCCGCCCGCCCGCTCGTACCCTCCAGAAACCTCTCGACATTACCACTCGCTCTTGCTGCTGCTCGCGCAGGGTGAGTGAAATCGTACAAATATACATATATATATACATATATATATGTTGTGTATACTTAACGTTAATTATTAGTTAAAATATTATTAGCTCGTAATTAGTATCGTAATTATATGCAATTATTATATATCGATATATTATAATATTGTCGTATCGAGAAAATGCAAAGTATATATGATAAAAAGAAGAACTTGTATGAAAGATAAACGATGTAGGTAGGAAGAATCCAACACAGTAGCGTTGTATGTATGGGAAGAGAAAGAAAGAAATGGTAATCTAGTTCGTACATTAATATATTCGTTTTATGGAGAAAATTTGTTATATCGAGAAGAGTATTCCTGGAAGCGCCGCCCAAGAGGTTGTATCTTAGCGCCATGAAATTTTATGGATTTGCATTGAACGGGACTACACATTTTCCGAGTGCTAACCGAGTCGACTGCTGACTTGAATGACGGCGATTCTTCAGATAGAGGTATCTACTAGTGTCTCGTTTGAAAGAATCGCATGTGATGAATTAACGTTGCAACCAAAAAGAAAAGAAAAAGAAAGAAATAGAAATTCACCACAGGCTGCTAGTGTGCGCGAAAGGATTTATATGAAAATTACCATGTTAATTTTTTGATGATGAAAGAACTTTTTTCCAGTTGAGGGTCCACCTGCGTGTGTACAGTTCAATCAAAATGTAACTATGAGAATGCGTATTCGATATTGGGCCCTCGCGTGAAAACTTCTGTAAATATTAGATTAATATTATGATAATAATGACGATTATATTAATTTACCTGCCCATTATCGATTTATTATTATTATTATTATTATTATTATTATTATTATTATTATTATTATTATTATAATATATTATTATTATAATATTCTATTATTATAATATATTATATTATTATCATCATTATTAGTCTATTACTATGATCAATTCGTACATAGATATATTGTAATATTTGCAAGAGACGAGGGAGAGGAATTCACACGCGTTATTACTATTGCACGGGTTAGCAAAGTAACCCGCGTACAAAACACACACCGAACCACATTACATGACTTTGCCAGTGTTGTATCATAAAGCTCTAAGCGTAAGTTTCTCTTTCCTCCGCCCGCCCCCCCCTTTCCA